AGTCTGTGCTGTCGCTTGGGTTTTTGATCTTAGCCCTTCTGAACAGTGTAAGCGTAAGCAAGAATCTCAGAGTTGTTTTAAATTGCATTTCTCTGATGACTAAGGATATTGAACATCTTTAAATGTTTCTTGGACATCAGATTTTTCTGTTGAGAATTCTGATTCACTCTGTTCCCCATTTTTTAATTGGGTTATATGGTTTGTGTCTAATTTCTTGAGTTCTTTATGTATTTTGGATATTAGTCCTCTGTCAGATGTAGGATTGGTGAAGATCGTTTTCCTTTCTGTAGGCTGCTGTTTTTTACTATTGGTAGTGTCCTTAGCCTTGCAGAAGCTTTGCAGTTTCATGAGGTCCCATTTATTAATTGTTGATCTTAGTGCCTGAGCCAAGTAATAAGGAGGGCCCAAGGGAGGAAAGAGAAATAAAATAGATATCAGAGGTAAATAGAGGGAGGAAACTGTTGGAAGAAGGGGTGAGGAGGGGAGTAGGGATGGGGAGCCGGTGTGGGTGAAGCAGGGGCAGAAGAGGGCTTGGAGAAAGAACAGAAATCGGTGGGGGCATCTCTGTGACTGGCCTAAAACCTGGGACTGTCAAAAGTCAGATTTGACATCTCAGGACTAACCAAGGCTGGCAATGAAGGGGGTTATGGCATTGGCTATTAGGGTCATACTGATAGCAGCTGATGGAGACCTTACTGACAGGGACAAAGGAGGGAGGGTTTATGGAGGCAATTGACATCATTACTACCAATGGAACAAAGCTTAATTATCTGAGACTGGCAAAAATACTCAGCAAGAAACGCTGAACTCTTTTTACTCTTGAATATGCATACATATAGACAAACATAAATACATCTATGAATATGTATATATATATACATATATACACATACATCTATACTTACACTTATCCATGTGTATATGTGCATATACATATATACATTTGTGTATGTGTACATATGTACATTTGGTGGATGGAGCAGAGCTCCAACAATCACTTTGTTTCTTCTCTCTGGCAATTTGTACCTTCTTAGACAAAAGTTCTTATAAAATGACCTCATAGATAAGATGTTACCCAAAGGGAGAGTTACAGAAGGATGTCAATAGTAAGTTCAAAGCAGTGCTTCATTCTATAAGCTCATTATAAGTTCAAAGCAACAGTTTCACATGGCCTTGCTTTATCATAGTGCACATCCTCATCCTTAGACCTGACCTGGAATGAGTGTTTTTCCTTGACCACAAATCTTCTCCAAGCCTGTTTCTCTTCTTAATGCAATTTATGAAAGCCCCGTGTATTCCTTATTATGCAGCCTTTACTTACTATTCTATGAGGAGGGGATGCAATCTCTTCTTGAATTTAAATACATATTTCTGGCGAAATAACTAAGATCGCCTTTTAAATGTTTTTTTTCCTGAAAGTACTGGAATCAAATCAGGAATTCTATAAATTCATTTATTCATCTAAACAGCATTAATTCATGAAAGTTCATCTTCATGTTGATCTGCAGGAAATTTGCCCAAATAGGGTGGGCTGATGCCCATGAATCATTAGGCTACATAATAATGGCAGGAAAGGCACATCAGCAGCAAGGGTCAATCTTGAGGGAAAGTCTCTGGGGCCATGCCTTTCCAAAGTGCACCCATCACAGCTATGCTAAACAGTGGGTCATCTCCAGGAAACTCACTTGCTTGCCGTAGCCTTTCCTAGATGCCTTTTGTCTTGGGATGGAGGAGGCTCCCGGGAGTCTATGGAGGTGAACCTATCTGAGGCTCCTAGCAGCAGGAGACATGCAAACTGATGTAGCCACCTCTTGTAGCCAGGAAGGACTTCCAGTAGAAGGATGAGGACACCAAACCAGCCACAAAACTTGTGACCCAAAATTTGTTCTGCCTACAAGATGTACAAGGATAAAGACAGAGCAGAGATTGGGGGAATGGCCGACCAATGACTGACCCAATTTGAGACCCATCCCATGAGAGCCAACCCCTGACACTATTAATGATACTCTGCTATGCTTGCAGACAGAAACTTAGCAAGGCAGTCTCTTGAAAGGCTTCTTCCAGCAATGGATGGAAACAAATGCAGAGACCCACAGCCAAACATCAAGCAGAGCTATGGGAGTCATGTCAAAGAGTGGGGAGTGGGATTGATCGAACTGGGGGTGGTCAATGACATCACAAGAAGATCAACAGAGTCAATTAACCTGAACCAATGGGGGCTTACCAACCATGTAGGGGGCTGGACCTAGGCTTCCTACACATTTGTAGCAGATGTGTAGCTTGGTCTTCGTGTGGATTCCCCTAACAATTGGAGTAGGAGCTGTCTCTGACTCTGTTGCCTGCCATTGGATCCCCTTCCCCTGCCTGGGCTGCCTTGTTTGGCCTAGTAGGCAAGGATGTGCTTAGTCCTGCTGTGACTTGATGTCCCTAGGCAGGCTGATACCCAAGGGAGGGTCTCCCCATCTCTGAGGAGAAGGGCAAGGGGTAATTGGAGGGAGGGACTTGTAAGACTGGGACTGGGAGGAGAAGAGGGAGACAGCTGCAACTGGAATGATGTTAAGTGAATAAATGAATGGATGGATAGACAGACAGACAGACAGACAGACAGACAGACAGGTAGATAAAAGCTGAGCAAGCCAGAGGGAGCAAGCCAAATAAGCAGCATTCCTCCATGACTTTTCCTTCAGCTCCTGCCTATGTTTCTGCCTTGACTTCCCTCAGTGATTGGTTGTAAGTTAAAAGGTAAAATAAACCCCTTCTTCTCCAAGTTGCTTTTGGTTGTGATATTTATCACAGCAAGAGAAAATCAAACTAGAACAAACACATGTAGTTTTCCTGGCACATGCCCATAGTAGGGCAGAGATGATCTTCAGACATAGACCACGGATACTACAGAAGAGCCACACAGAGAGCAGAAGTGTAGATAGGTAGACTGATCCAAGTGGCTCTGCATAGCTGGGGAGCTAGAGGAAAAGCCAAAGCTTCCTCTGGGAGGTCAGATCCTGTCACACTGTAGCCAACAAGGCATATTGCTTCACAGGAAAGGACTAAGACCCAGGCAGACAATAGTGTCTGTAGCTTAACTAGATCTCTATAGTGAGTGAGGAAGAAAGTTTATGAGGGCCCAGACTGTGGTCTGGGAAGGGACCTGCCATGCCCCTGTCAGTAACTGAGATACTACAGCAGGGGCAGGTGCTCCCTAGAAAGCCTGAGATAACTCCACTCCTCCTTCTCTCACGAGACCACCTAATTTAGACCTGAGAGAACAGAGACTCTGGCAGTAGACGGGGCTTGGGGATCTGAGATCTAGAGGCCATCTACAGAGCAGGATCCCAGCCAAGAGATCAATGAAGGCTGGCTCTCTCCTCTTCCCTACACCTAGAGCTCTAAAACACAGTATAGGGAAGGGAGCCTCTAGACCTCGATCCATTCCCCATCCTGTTCATTCCATCTTCCCATTTTTCCAGGTCTCCAAGCCATAGACACTACCTTTCCTATTCACCCATCTTTCCGTGTCCCTAGGTCCCCAGGCCATAGTCGCCTCCCCTCCTGCTCACCCTACCCCATCTATGGCCTCTGGATGCTTCCTTACCAGAGTCTTTTGTCTAGCCTGGAGCTACAAGCATCTATATTCCCTAAGCACCTACTGCTGACCTATAGGGTCCAGCTCTGAACCAACTCACATAACTAAATACACACTTTCCCTGTCTTGGGGTGGCCCCCTGGGTCAGGAGGAGACCACTTCCAAAGAACCTTCTCTTAGAGCACTCAACTCCTCCCCTGTACCACGCAGGACATATCTGAGGACCCCCCCCCTTGCTGATAACCAGAGCTCTGGAAGTGGCCAGGTGAGGACACATCCATCTTGGACATAGGAGACACAGCACCAGAGATGCTGCCCCATCACGACAATAGAGTGACACTTTAGACTTTAATCTGAGTCACTTTCCTGCTATAGAGGTGGGATCAGAAAGCAAAGAGCAGTCTGAGTGCCTGACAGGCACTCAAATATGCTATAGAGGTACCTATGGTGGATAAGGTACCTCCATGGCTTCCCAGGGAGGGGCACATCCCACCTCCGCCATCACAGACCTTTCTCCATAGTTGGTAAACAACTCAGATACAAGAGAATGACAGATGGACCTCCATCTGCTCTTATTATAAAAAGAAGAAAAGCCCCACAGGCTCCAGAACTTCAGTGATTGTTTTGAGAAAAATCATTGGTCCCTGACTCAAGAGATGACTGGCAGTTTGGGTGATATCCACACCCTGTGCGAGGTTTAAGACTCAGAGTCCCTGTGGTCTGTGACTGGTGCAAGGTTTTGACTAAGCAGAGCACCACAGTGCTAACTGGAACCACAGTGGCTCGTGGCTCAACAAAAACCTTCTGTTCAGAGCTTTTCAGGGGCAGTCTGGGCTGTGAGGAAGTAAAGAGGCTTGAGAAGGCTGGGGAAAGAAAGAAGATCTGAGAGAAAAGGTAGCTTTCTGGAGGGCAGGAGACGGTGCAGAGGAGAGCGAGTTACTGTGGACTGATCTTGGATAAGGAAAGGATAAGCAAACAAAGGCATCAGAAGGGTGGGTGCAGTATGCTGCCAAGGACTACCAAGAGGATCCCAGGCCAGAGCTGGCAGGTGGGTTTTACTCAGAGTACAGGGTAGATGCAGCTCCCTCTCTTTTTTCCTTGCTCCTTCTCCTGTTTCCTTCTTCTCTTCTCTCTTTACAGGATCTCACTATGCTAGCCAAGGCGAGCCTGAAAGATACCTTCCTACAGGTGTGCCCATCCTGCTGAGTTAAGGTGGAGATCTCTCCAAACATCTGAGTTTCTGAGACTTGGATCCCGCTGGGGACTCCAAGGGACTTTGGGCTGAGCTTCAATGGCCCTGGAAGGAGGGCTACTTCACTGTGTCTATAATTACTCCAATGGCTGGGGTTAGGGGACTCAGGTCACCATCTCCTCAGGTGAGTCCTACATCTGGGGACTGTGGGGTTCAGATGGGCCAAGGCAGGAGAGAGTTTTAGTATAGGAACAGAGGCAGAACAGAGACTGTGCTACTGGTACTTTGATGTCTGGGGCCAGGGAATCACAGTCACCGTCTCCTCAGGTAAGTGCTCCTCTATTGGCTCCTATCTTCGATCAATGGCAATCAGCCAAGCCTCTGGGGTCCCTACATAATCTGTGTCCAGTCCAGATGGGAGTCAGTTTGGCCAGGAGCAGGGACCATGTCCCTGTGCAATGCTTTTGATATCTGGGGCACAAGAACCCAGATCATTGTCTCCTCAGGCCATCTGCCACACTCTACATCGTGCAGAAGCTTTTCTGTAAGGATGGGATCTTTGCTCCCAGGAAAAGAGGCAGACAGAAGCTGCCTGCGGGACAGTGACAATCATAGAAAATAGGCTTTTATGTTGTTAGACTGCATGGGTAGATGTAGAGGTTTTTGTATGCCCACTAAAGGGGTCTATGACATTGTGACTACTTTGATTACTGGGGACAAGGGACCATGGTCACCGTCTCCTCAGGTGAGTCCTTACAACCTCTCTCTTCTATTCAGCTTAGACAGATTTTTACTGCATTTGTTGGAGGAAATGTGCGTATCTGAATTTCAGGTCATGAAAGACTAGGGATACCTTGGGAGTCAGGAAGGGTCTCTGGGGTCCCTGGCTGACACAGACAGACATCCTCAGCTCCCAGACTTTATGGCCAGAGATTTATAGGGAGCCTGGCTACGATTGCCACTAGGTCCCTCTCTTCTATGTTGTCTTTGTCCCTCACTGGGCTCCATCTGAGATAATCCCTAGCCAAGGACTATTTCTTGTCGGGAGTCTTATCATTGTTGTCACAATGTGACAACTGGTTTGCTTACTGGGGCCAAGGGACTCTGGTCACTGTCTCTTCAGGTGAGTCCTAACTTCTTCCATTCTAAATGCATTTGGGGGGAATTCTGAGCATTCAGGACCAAGACTCCCTGCAAATGGGAACCAAGATGTGACCCCTTTGTCCCAAAGTTGAGACACGGGTCTGGGTCAGGGATCTCTACCTGCTGGTCTGTGATGATATCAGAACTGTAATGTGATGAGGGGTCTGCCGGGCTGAGGCTTGAAGTCTGGGGCAGACTCCTGTCCAGGGTCTATCAGACTCTTGTGACAATTAGGGGCTAACAGTTTATGGTGGCAATTCAAGGTCAGTGACTGTCTGGTTTCTCAGAGGTGAGGCTGGAATATAGGTCACTTTAAAGACTAATGACGGGTCCAGGGGCCTTTCCGCCCAGGCAGGGAACAGAGTGTGGAACAATGTCTTGAACGGTTGATTCTTGTGTGACACCAGGAGTCGGCATGGTGTCTGAGTTTCCCAGGGGTGATTCTAGTCAGACTCTGGGGTTTTTGTGGGGTATGGAGGGAAAGTCTACTATTGTGATTACTATGCTATGGACTACTGGGGTCCAGGGATCTTGGTCACCGTCTCCTCAGGTAAGAATGGCCTCTCCAGGTCTTTATTTTTAACCTTTGCCTATGGAGTTTTCTGAGCATTACAGACTAATCCTGGAGATTTGTCCCTGAGGGAGCTGGCTGGGAGAGGCGGGAACTAAACTGTCTAGGGATCTCAGAGCTTGCGGATAGATATCTCCATACCTTTGAAAAACTAAGAATATGTGTGATGGTGTTGGTGGAGTCCCTGGATGATGGGGCAGGGATTTTGGAGCCTCATTTGAGGGAGATTGTTAAAAAGATTTCATGACTGGAGGGATAGTTTGGACTGTGGTTGGAGATTTTCAGTTTTTAGAGTAACAGTGTTAGCTGAGAAATGTACTTCAGGACCACCTCTGTGACAGCATTTGTACAGTATCCAATGGACAGGGACAAAGAGTGGAGTGGGACACCTTCCTTAGATTTGTGAGGAATGTTCCACACTAGATTGTTTAAAACTTCATTTGTTGGAAAGAGACCTGTCTTAGTGAATGGGTCAAGGAAGGAAGGCATCTAGTCTCAGTCTCAAAAGGGTAGCTACTACCCAGAGGAATCTGGTGGAGCCTACAGAAGTCCAGCTTTCAAAGAAAGCACAGAAGTATGTGTATGGAATATTAGAAGATGTTGTTTTTGCCTTTTAGAAGATGTTGTTTTTACCTTTAAGGTGGTTCCTAAGGAAAAAATAGTTAGAATATTGTGGCTTTAAAATGTGTGAGAGTTTTCCAGTATTCATTTTTTAAAATGTCCAAAATTCTTGTCACTCTGAAGTCAGGTTAAATTGATATTACAGAAAGTTTAACCAAGGAATGGGAATGAGGCTCTTTTTCACGCCCTATTCAGAACTGACTTTTGACAATAATAAATTAAGTTTAAAATAGTTTTTAAATGAATTGAGCACTGTTGAGTTGGAGTCAAGATGGCCGATCGGGACACCTGCAGCAGCTGGCAGGAAGCAGGTCATGTGGCAAGGCTATTTGGGGAAGGGAAAATAAAACCACTAGGTAAACTTCTAGCTGTGGTTTGAAGAAGTGGTTTTGAAATGCTCTGTCCAGCCCCACAGAACTGAAAGTCCAGGCTGAGCAAAACAACACCTGGGTGATTTGCATTTCTAAAATAAGTTGAGGACTCAGCCGAAACTGGAAAGGTCCTCTTTTAACTTAGCGAGTTCAACCTTTTAATTTTAGCTTGAGGAGTTCTAGTTTCCCCCAACTTAAGCTTATCAGCTTCTAAAATGTATTCATTTTCAAAATTAGGTTATGTAAGAAATTGATGGACTTTAATGTCTTTAATTTCTAATACATTTAGAAAACTTTTTTAAATTACTTTATTATTCTTCCCTCTTGATTATTGGTTTCCATTCAATTCTTTTTCCAATACTCAAAGCATTTACAGTGACTTTGCTCATGATTTTTTTCAAGTTAGTTGTTTTGCCTTACTATTAAGACTTTGACATTCTGGTCAAAATGGCTTCATAAATTTTTTTTCAGAAAGACCTCACTTTCTGAGTATTCATTTTAGGAGAAAGTCTTTTTTTTAGTGAATGCAATTATTTAGACTTATTTCAGTTGAACATGCTGGTTGATGTTTGAGAGGACACTGAAGTCAGTCAGTGCAGTGAAGGGCTTGTAAGCCAGTCCACAGAGACATGCTCTACGTGAACTCCCTCTGGCCCTGCTTCTTGTTGGAGAACTAGCCAAAGGCCTGAGACCAGGCTGCTGCTGGGTCTCCCAGTACTACCCAGACCTGGGAATGTATGGTTGTTGGCTTCTGCCACCCATCCACCTGGCTGTTCATGGACCAGCCAGACTTGATGGCTTTGAAGGAATGATTCCACACAAAGACTCTGGACCTCCCCGAAAGCAGGCATCCCAAACGGTAAGCCAGAGGCAGCCACAGCTGTGATTGCTGCTCTTAAAGCTTGCAATTGTTTCTGCTTGAGAGGGACTGAGTCTTCAGTCATTGCTTTAGTGGGGGAGAAAAAGACATTTGTGCATCTTTGAGTATCATTGTCTGGGCCACTCACATTCAACTTTCCTTGAAAAACTTGTAAAAGAAAAATGTTGCCTGTTAACTATTAATTACAGGGATCATGGTATTTTGAGGAAATCTTAGAAAAAGTATATGCAATTGTCTGGAATTATTTCAGTTAAGAGTATTAGTTGAGGTACTGGTGCTGTCTCTACTTCAGTGGTTTTGAATTTTGAATCTATTCTGTCTCTTCTTAAGCAGCAAATATAGATAAAATGGATACCTGAGTGGTTTTTAATAGTGGTTTTAATCTAGAAGGAATTTAAAATGGAAGCTAACTTAGAGTCAGTGAGGAGGGACCCAGGCTAAGAAGGCAATCCTGGGATTCTGGAAGAAAAGATGGTTTTAGTTTTTATGGAAAGCAAGACTACATTCTTGATCTACAACTCGAGATGGTCTAATGAATTTAAAGCTGCCAGTAAATATACTTCCTGGTTGTTAAAGAATAGTATCAAAAGACAGTGCTTGGATCCGAGGTCAGTGTAAGAGGATCCACTGAACTAACTCTCCAGCCACAGTCACAAAAAAAAAAAAAAAAACAGACAGAGAAGGCCAGACTCAAAAAGCTTGCTGAGCAAAATTCATTTGAGAGCTCCAGTAAGCCAGACTCTAGTAAGCACAGCTGATCTGAGATGGGTAGGCTTCTGAGCTCTTCTAAAATGCACTAAATCGAGGTGAATATTCTGAGGTAAGCAAAGCTAGGATGGGGCTGAAATGCGGTAGACTGCAGTGAGGGAGAATGAGCTGCACCGGCTAAGCTAAACGAGGCTGGCTTAACCAAGATGAGCCAAACTGGGATGAACAGCATTGATCGAGGCTGAAGAGAGCTAAACTATACTGCCTACATGGGGCTGTTCTGGGGTGAGCTGGGGTGAGCTGGGGTGAGCTGAGCTGGGCTGGGGTGAGCTGGGGTGAGCTGGGGTGAGCTGAGCTGGGCTGGGGTGAGCTGAGCTGGGGTGAGCTGAGCTGGGGTGAGCTGAGCTGGGCTGGGGTGAGCTGGGGTGAGCTTGGCTGGGGTGAGCTGAGCTGAGCTGGGGTGAGCTTGGCTGGGGTGAGCTGAGC